CTATCTATCTATCTATCTATCTATCTATCTATCTATCTATCTATCTACCTACCTATCTACCTACCTACCTATCTATCTACCTACCTACCTATCTATCTATCTATCCATCTAGACAGAGGGCATAGGATGAGTTGAATATGAAGGGATGATATTTAAAAAATAAAATCAAGAGGTGAGAATGGCTTGTACTGGGAGGAAGAGAAAGGAAGAGGTAGAATGGGGCAAATTGTCTTACATAAAAGAGGCAAGAAAAAGCTTTTACACTGGAGGGGAAGAGGGGGAAGGTGAGAGGGAATGAGTGAATCTTACTCTCATTGGATTTGGCTTAAGGAGGGAATAACATACACACCCAATTTGGTACGGAAATCTATCTTACCCCACAGGAAAATAGGAGAGAAGAGGATGGGGGGGGGTGGATAACGGGAGGGGGGGCAGGTTAGAGGAGGGGATAATCAGAAGCAAACACTTCTGAGAAGGGACAGGGTCAAAAGAGAGAATAGAATGTGTGGGGGGGTGGGATAGGAAGAAGGGAAATATACTTATTTTTTCACAGCATGATGACTACACATGTATAACCTATATGGAATTGCTTGCCCTCTCAATGAAAGTGGGTGGGGAGGGAGGAACAGAGAAAATTTGGAACCCAAAGTTTAAAAAATGAGTGTTAATTGTTTTTACATACAATTGGGAAATAAGATATACAGACAATGTGGTACAGAAATCTCTCCTGCCCTATAGGAAAATAGAAGGGGAGAAGGATAAGAGAAGTGGAGGGGGATGATAGAATAGAGGGCAGATTGGGGGAAGGGGTATGCAGAATGCATGCCATATTGCGGTAAGGAGAGGGGAGAGATAGGAGAAAAATTGAAACTCAAATTTGTGGAAATGAATGTTGAAAACTAAAAATAAATAAATAAATAAATTCAAAAAACATTGACAATTGTCTTTACATGTAATCAGAATAAAATAAAATACTATTTAAAAAAACAAAGTATAAATATGACCATGTTATTATCCTATTCAATAAACTCCAGTAGCCCTCTATTACCTACAGGAACAAAAATAAAATCCCATTTGACTTTTAGAAAGAGAACTCCTTCAAAGCAAGGATTGTTTTCTGCCTTTCTTTGTATCCTCAGCACTTAACCACAGTGCCTGGCACACAAAAGGCACTTAATCAATGTTTACTTATTGATTTGACTAATCTTGTCTCATCTTCCTCCTCTATAAAATGACATGTTTAGCCTAGATGGCCTCGGAGGTCTCTTCCAACTCTAGATCTATAATAGATAATCAAATGGCATTGATTGCTAGAAAATGCAGCAAAGAAAACAATGAATTCCTTGAATCCATGGTTTATTGCTTTCTCATCAAAGAACATGCACAAAGGGCAATTTTCTTGGAAATGGACAGGTTACTTATAGATTAAAGAGAACTCTCTTGGGATTCACGTGCTCCTAACAATCATTTAGTTTCTTACTTCCCTGCGTGATTTATTGTTTTCTTCTGCTTTACCTTACATCTCTAAATTTTTGAGATCTTTGTTTCCAAAAATGATGATTTCATAGATAAGATTCATACTGAGCCAAATAAAGGAGTTTGGCAGCCTAGATGCTAGGAATAATAACAAATGTCTGCATCCTTCCAAATATTCATTGGTGGAGATAAAAAAGATAAACATTCCAATGGATTAGAATCTATGGGAATCTGAAAACTGAAACATTGCTCAGAGATGATATTGTTTCTGTCCAAAAAGGAAAAGTAGCTGGGCAATCTTGGGTGTGTCATCCCCTACCAGCCCTTTAGGGAGCTGCCACATCTCCCCAGCTCCCATTTACTGCTCTCACACTGACAGGCTTCTGTACTCTTCAAAGAGGGAGAAGAGCCCAACTTGGATGGAGAACAATTGCCCCAGCATCCTCATTTTCACCCATGCTGACACTTCTGCTGGTCAAGAACGATCTCCAGTAAACCTCATTAAGTAAAGGCGAATTCTGGGCATCCCTACCCCTTGCATGGCAATGAACTGACCTCAAAAAAAATCACTCATTTAGAAAGCATTTCCTCCTGAGCATTTTGGGTAAATGGTGTGATGATTTTTTAACAATTTCCTTCTACTTACCTCAAATAGCACTAACACAGGGGGAATCTTAGATAGGACTCAGTAATTGTCACTAATAAAAAGCTAACAAACTTCTACCAAAGTTCCAGGAAATGCTTGGAAGTAGATTTCATAACTGTGGCCAATGGGGAGAATTGTTAACTAAATCAGAATTTGAAGAAACCCAGAGGAGAAAACAGTTTTGATTACCGAAAATTGAGAAGCCTTTGCATGACAACATCAACAGCTAGAATAATTGTTGATGAGGGAGAATGTCTTTGCCTTAATTGTCTCTGATAAAAGTCCATTAACCAAGACATGTAAGGAATGAACACAAATCTCTAAGTCCAAGAGTCTTCGCCAGTAGATAAGTGGTCAAAGGAAATTAATAGTTCTCAAGTTTGCTCCAAATCACTTACAATGAGAGAAATGGAAATTAAAACAACTCCAAGGTTTCCCCTCTTCTCCAGCAAATCTTCCAAGGTGATACACATGAAAATGGTCAATGTAGGAAGGAATACACAAAGACAGGTAGATTGATGCCTATTTGTGGAGCTGTGAACTGGTACAACAATCATGAAAAACAATTTGGAATTATGCTCAAAAGTGTTAACATCTCCATACCTTTTGATCCTGAGATCCCACAGCTTAATATATATGCCAAGGTTGTTAAAGATAAGGAAAAAAATCTCAGACACACATATCTATCAAAACATTCATTGCAACACTTTGTGGTAGTAAAGAAGTAGAAACAAAGCAGATGCCCATCAACTGAGAAAGGGCTAAGCAAATTGTGGCACATAAATGAAATGGAATTGTGTTGTAACAGAAGAAAGAATGAAAATGAACAATTCAGGGAAACATAGAAAGACTTAAATGAACTGATACAGAAGAGTGTGAGCAGAACCATCAAAGAAACATACTCAATACTACAAAATGGAGTGGGGGGGAATGATGTTGAATGTTATGGAATTAGAGTTACCAAGCTTGGCCACAGAGAAGAGAAAATAAACATTTCATGGAAGAAGTGAGAAGACTATGGGTATGTATTGTTGCATATACTGTTGGATATATGTGATCAATGTGAGAGTCGTTATGGAATTTTTGAGTAAAAATTTCATTATGAGAAAAGGCAATGGGGTAGGGTATATATTTAGCAATGAATAAATGCAAACACAAAATGTATCATTAAAACTTTAATTTTTAAAAAAGTTCAATGGAGAGGCACATGATAAGCAAGCACAAGCTACAGTACACCAAGAAGAACTGAGTAGGAGTGACAGAAGGAAAGGCATTAGAGAGATGTATCACCAGAATGAGGTGAGCCCATCACAGAGGGAAAGCTAAGGATTTCTGGGCAGACCATCCATTAAGGCACCAGTATCTCTGTAATATCAAGAAATGTAGAGGAAGGTCTACATGCTGGTTAATCAACTTCTGCAGAAATTATTGAAGGAAATGGACAAGAGGCAACCAGGATGAAAAGGTGTGGATGGATTGCAATCTGTACCTCTGGAGGCATTTCACACTTTGACAGACTCTACAAATCCCCAGTGCTGAAGTTTCCTCCCTCTGCTCCCGCCAATTTGTCTCTGTGTCACCAAGCACCACTTAATTCTCAGTCTTCTCATTTGTTAGGGTAGAGGCTCAAGGAATTAAATGGATAAAACCCTGTTCAGGAATATAGGACAGTGGAAGGGCCGTTTGAAACTCTGCTGGGGAAATGCTAAAGAGTTGAGACAGAGACAAAGGTAAAGGGAAGGAGCTATTCCAGGGAAGGAGTCAGTAGAACTAATCTCTTGGAGCTCTGGGCACAAGCAGGGGCCTCCAAACATGGGAGGGAGACTGAGGGGACACAACAGTTCCAGGGGACACAGCCTCAGGGACCAGCTCAGGAGCCCTGCAGAGGACACAGAACAGTCATATCTGAACCCCCAAGTAGAACCATTTCTTCCTACTAAGGCGCCCCAAGTCTCTTCTTAACTTAAGTGTCCACTGGGCAGAGACTGTAGCTATGAGAACCCTGATGCTACCTGGGTAGAAGTATCTTACCTCTTGGTTGAGAACCTTGATTTCCTGGGAAAGTAAGGAAGAGAGACAGACATACAAATCCTTGTAAATCCTAGAGTCATAGAAGCAAAGTGTACCAAGGTTCTGAGCACTGTGGGACAGGTGGCTCCTAACACTACTTAGCCCAATACCTTACACCACAGAGGAAACATGTAATAGATGTTTTATCCATCCTTCTACAATTGTGTGAGTGGATGAGAAGAGAAAGAGAAGCATGTGGGAGGGTCTAAACCTGGAACCTCAGACCCCTCCCCAGTCTGTCTCTCCTAGTAAATATGAAATTCCCTAAGACCTTTGAGCCCTGGGATCTGGCCCCTTCACCACCTTCTACAAGTTCCTAGGGAAGGAAAACATGACTCCAGAGCCAGAGCATCCCTTCACCCCTGACCTGGGGCCAGATTTCTGACACAATCAAATATCCTCTCTCCTGGAGGAGATCATGGAGGGGAGGGGCCATAGGGCTTTCTCCAGAGTATCCCACCTTTCTGACTCCTCTTGTGGACAATGAGGCCAACCCCAAAGAAGATCAGCCCCAGCACGAGGCCCCCAACTCCACTCAGCATCTTACTCTGGGCAGATTCAGACTGTGCTTCTGGGGAGAAGACACCAAGGATCAAAACTTTTCCTCCAGGAGCCAGCCCCATGTGGGGAGCAGATGGGTCTGAGAGGAGCCTGAGAAGGGGCTAAATCCTGTCTAAGAAAGGAAGGGGTGGATGTGCAAAGGACTTTTCAGGACTCAGGAACTGAAAGCTCATCCAGGGACAGTGACATCAATCTGTCTCAAAGCATAGCCCCCCTACCCCAGGGGAAGGGGTCTATAGGCTGATCACAGAGTCTGATAAAGAGGCCAGCTCCCAGGGCTGGGGCCAGTGAGGAGGCTGACAAGGTTCTAGGTCTCCATAGCTCTTAGGTCAGCATTGCCATTCAAGGGTCGGGAAAAAGTGGAGGGGAAAGAGTTTGTATTAGCCCAGGGCAGAAGAAAACAAGGCACAGGGCACACACTGAGGGGATCTCAAAGCTAGCTCCATGTCCTGAGCAATGTTAGAACTGGAGGGTGAGGGAGTTCTATCTCACTCCAACCCAACATGGCAGGTCTCTGAAGGCTGGAGTGCTCCACTTGGCAGGTGTACATGTCTCCACGCTTGGGGGTCATTTCCAGCATCACAAGGATCTGGTAGGTCCAGTCTCCATTGCTGATGAGGCCTGTGGACACAATCCCTGCTGTCTCCTCCTGCCCATTCAGGAACCACCTGACCTTAATGTTTCCAGGATAGAAACCACTGACAGAGCAGACAAGCAGGTTGTGGAGTCCCAGGGGGGCCATCTTTGATGGATACGCAATCACCTCAGGCATAACTGGAAGAAAAAAGAAAGATCTTGAGTGAGGGAGCCAGAGCAAGTCTTCCTAGTGCAGCCCCTACCTCTGTCACCTGATCCATAAACAGTTTCAGGTCTCCTCTTCTCCCCAGAACCAGAAATGGCATCACAGTAAACATTTAAGCTCCCCGTAAGACTAGAAGTCTGAACTAGCAGGAAGTAGGCCCAGGAGTCCATGGTGCTGAATCATCACAGCCCCAGCTCATCAGGATTCAGAGACATGGGAAGAAATTAGCAGGAGAGTTTTCTCAATATAAATGAATACTTTGCAATGGATTATTTCCAAAAGTAGATCATAGGTGTAGGTAATAAACTATTTTAAGAGAGATTTATAATATCAGGAGACGCTATCAGTCTTTTGAAGAAATTCTGAATCAGGACACCTGTGGGTAACATCTTGACCAAATAGAAACCTGAGCATCCTGAGTCAAAGCCCAGGGGTCCTGGGAGAAGCAGAAATATGTCTGGGTCTCTGGAGAAAGATACTTTCAGTGATGAGACGTCAGTTGTAAGAGTTTGTGTTATCAGAGAAAGATGGGAGGGGGAAGGGAGAGAGAGAATGTGGTTGAGACAAGAGAGAGTAGAGCTTGGAAAGCCTCTTCTGAGCTTAGATTAGAGATAAAAAAAGGAACACTTTTATTTACAACTCAAAAAGGTTCATGAAGCCTGGGCACTCAAGACTTGGAGGATTTAATATTAATTATTTTGTTGTTGTTCTCTCGTTTTTCAATTGTGTATAACACTTTATTACTCTATTTGGGATTTTCTTGGCAAAGATATCGGAGTGATTTGCCATTTTCTTCTCCAGCTCATTTTACAGATAAGGAAACTGAGGCAAACAGTGACAACCAGTGTCCCACAGCTATTAAGTGTCTGAGACTAGATTTGAACTCAGGAAGATGAGTCTTCCTGACTGCAGGCTTGGCACTCTTTCTATTCTGCTACCTAGCTGCCTATTAACCATTTATCACTGTATAAATGTGAGTTATTTATTGGTGAAAGGTTTTTAGCTTGTTCCCATTGCAATTGATCCCCACTAGAATTGGAAGAGAGAAAAAAAACCCACCTAAATTTGACGGAGGAAAACGGACTCAAGGAACCAAAATCCATGCTGCTATAAGAGGGTTCTTCCCTTCCCTCTCCAGCACTTCTTCCCCCTTCCCTGTGTTCCTACCCTCGTTCTCTCCCATTCATTCTTCCTTTTCTTCTCCTCTCTCTTCCCTCCCAGTCCCCTTCACTCATCTCCAGTTTTTCTGCTCCTAATTCCATCCCATCATCTCTGTTGCCTATCTTCCTCTCTCACTTCTCTACCTCCTCTCCCTCTCATCCTTCCTTCTTTTTCCTTCTATCTCAATCCCCTCCCCAATTCTTCTTCCTTCCCTTTCATCCCTCTCTTTGTCCTTAATAACCCCCCCATCTCCCTTCCCTCTTGGTCCCATCTCCTCTTCTCTCCCAATCTATCATCTCCCCCTCCCTTCATCCCTTCTTTTCCTTATCTTTTCCCTGTTTTGGGGGCCCCTGTCTCCGCATCTGCTCCTGTGACACCCCTTCTCTCCTCCCCACCTGTCCCCCTCCCATTACTACCTCCACCCGCTATCCTCTCCCTCTGCGCTCCCTTCCAGCCCCTTCTCTTCTCTTCCCTCCCTGCTCTGCCCCCTCCCCATGACCCATGCCCCTCTCACGATCCCTTCTCTGTCTCCCTGGGTCCCTGCTTGGCTCCCTTGGTCCCTCCGTCTCCTCCCGGGGACGCACACTCACCGCTCTTGTGCACTGAGAAGAGCTCAGACACCTTGCAGTAGACCCTGCAGAACCAGTTCACCGCCGCCAGTGTCTGCCAGAATCTCCTTGCGGCTGTTATAATACTCAGCACTGGGACATCCCAGCTCCGTCAGCGCCACGTACTCCCCCACGTGGCTGTCAAACCGCATAAACTCCTCGAGGTTGTGGATGTATCCATCCACAAACCTCATGTGCTCCGTCCCGTTCTCAAAGTGAGACTCGGACTTAGCATGCTCGGTGAAGTGCTCTGAGGTGGAGATGGGGTGAGGGTTGGTGGGGGTGGGGTGAGGGAAAATCAGCCCTGACGGACACCCCCGTCCTCGAATCACTCACCACAACCTGGGACTGACCAAAGAAAACAAGGCCAACATCCGGCTGCCCCTCCTGCGCATTCTCAGCCCCACCCTCTCTGAGGCCCAGAAATGTCAAGAGACTTTTCCGAGGTCACACTGCAAATCTGGAATGGAGGCAGGACTAGAACCCAGACCTTCAGGTTCCCAGACCGGTCCTGTCTGTCATAGCTGCCTCTTCGATGCACCCAGCCTGGTGCAAACACTCCCAGGAAATTTTATCCAACAACCATCACAAATCCTCCTTATCCAAGTTCACCAAGTCTCTGATCCTTATCCCTCCAGAATATCTTTGTATCCCCCTCCCCAGCCCCTCTTTAGAGACCTGGACAGATGACAGACCCTCCACACACTTCCATAACCTAGAGGTCACACCCCCTCTCTCCCCTTTGATCAGGGGGCAACAATCAGATCAATATTACCCTAGTTACTGAAAAGGGCATGATCTGCTATGCTATGTATGGCTCTGCTCACAATTCCTGTGACTGCTGGACCAGGTATCCCTCCCCCAGTCACCCCTCCTGGGCATGTTCTTACATCTTCCTCCAAAAGGTAAGCTCCTCCAGGGCAGAAAATTACTTGTTTTTATATGTAAACTAGCACTCAGCACAATGCCTGGCATGTAGTAAGCACTAAATTAATGCTTATTGACTGATTGATATAATTTATCTATCCATCCCACAAATGACAAAATAATTTTTTAGAAAGCATAAATCTGACCATTTAAGTCACCTCCTCAAGAAGCTGTGGGTGGCTCCCTATGGATCCTTGGAGAAATTTCAAAACCCTAACCTTGGCATTTAGAGCCCTCCTCAGTCTGACTCCAGCCTACCTTTCCAGAATCTCCTATTATTCCTTCTCACACATGATTTATATTTCAGTCACACTGGCCTACTTGTTGCTCCCCAAATGCAGCATTTCATCTCCCACTTCCACACCTGTGAACAGCCTTCATGCCTGGCATGCCCTCTGCCCTACCCCAAACTCATAGATTCCTTGCTTTCTTTGTACTTAACACTCCTTCCTTCTCTGTGCACTGCTGTACTTCCCCAAAGAGAGTCAGCCAATCAACAAGCATTTATTAAGTGCTTCCTGTGTGCTAGGCACCATGTTAGGTACTGGGAATACAAATATAGAGAATGGAAAAATCTTTAGCTTTACATTCAAATGGGAGTGACAAATGTCCATAAAAGTGTAGACAGCATGAATCCTCATGAGGAGAAGATAGGGAGGGAGGGAGGGAAGACACTGACATTTGGGGGGATCAGGAAAGGCTTCACCTAGAAAGTGGTGCTTGAGCTGGGCCTTGAAAGAAGAGAGGATCCATGAGGCAGAGGGAAAGGGGGAGTGTATTCCAGGAACTGGGGATGGCTGGGGCAAAGGTCCAGGCCAGAGATGGGAGATGGTTCCATGTGTGAGGAAAAGGCAAGTTTGGGTAGATCACAGAGTACAGAAAGAGGAGGATTGTCATATAAGTTAGGGTTCCAGCCAGATTGTGAAGGTGTAAAGAGAGTAAGTTCTAATTGATCACAGAAGCAATAGGGATCCACTGCTGTCTATTGAGGAGAGGAGTAACTTAGTCAGATTTACTCTTAGAGAAAAACACATTTTTAGGTGTGTGAAAGATAGTCTGGAGTGAACAGAGACTTGAGGCAGGGAGAGCAATTAGGTGGCCATCATAATAATCTGGGTGAGAAGTGATGAGGGTCTGCTCATATGGTGACCATAGGAGCAGAAAGGGTTGTATGTAGGAGGAAATTGAGATTAGTTCAGCAAGTGTTGAATTGTGGGAATTGGGTGAACCACACTGACTCCATCTTGTGACTCAGATGTGGAGATAGCTTAGTTCCCTTTCTATTTGATTGTGGGCAGAGTCCAATATCTGTTTTGTGAGAAAATTGTATTCAGTTGCGGGAATTGGGAGAAATCCTTATTTCATTGTTTGAACCTAGTGCTGCACAGCTGGGAAGCTGGACCACCTCTCCCTGATACTTAGAGACCCTTAACTAAGGCCCAAGGTTATGCTGAGCAGAAACAAGGGCAGATGCAGAGATTGAGGCGAGGAGTTTTCTCACAATTGTACATCCTAAGCAACCCATCTGTCTTATCAGTTATTGTTTCCATGTTCCTTTGATTGTTCACAAACACTTGGGGGGGGGTGGTAAGGGGACATCTCCTTTTCTGATTTCAGGGAATTGCACCTGTTTGCATTTTCCTTCCCAACTTGAAAGTCTCTAATCCTTCCTCCAGTTAGAATTCAAGTTACCTAATATTATATTGTTCCTTTTAAATTCATTGTCCTTATTTAATTAATTGTTTTTAACATATAAAAATCTGTCTCCCACCAAATTTTGGAATATGTGTATATGCATATACATATATACATAACCATAAGCTGGGGAGGTCTGGTCCTGGTTTGTTGAGTAATTGACATACATTTCTGAATAAATTGATTATGTTCAGAAGCTTGAACCTTTGTTTCCTTGGTCATTTCATCTTTCACTCACCAAATGTAAGGGACGTTGTGGCAGTGAGTCCGTTGGAGGAGAGAGAGAGAGGGATTGATGATAAAACCAAGGCCATGAAGCATGAGACTAGAAGAATTGCATTATGTTCATTAGGAATAGGAAAGTCTGAAAGAGGTATGGTTTGGGTGGAAAGCAATGAGCTCAGTTTTGGACATGTGTTTAAGAGAGCTTAGAGACATTGGGCCTAAAATATCCAGGAGGCAGCATTGGACCACACTGTCTCTGTAGTCAGAATACAAGCTTCCAATCCCAGTTGTGCTGATGACTCTGAGACCTTGTGCTAATCACTTCTGTCTGAACCAATTTCTTTATCTGTAAAATGGAGACAATAAAAATGACATTGCCTTTTTCATAGACTCGTGGTGAAGGTCAGAAAGGATTGTATATGGACAGCATTTTGTAACAAGAGAGACCATATCAGTAGAAGTTGCTTTGATTTTCTGATGCATCTGTGATCTCATCCCAGTGGGTCTTCCCTCCAACAGCATGGAGCATAACCCAGCCATTGCTCCTCTTTTGTGATTTTTCCATAGATACTCTATAGAAGGCCTACCCCTACATGCTGGAGGAATAACTGTGGGTCTTTGGATATTTTGAAGTTACCCATACGACCCATCCAACTTTCTTTCTAATAATACATTTCCTCTATAATCTCAGGGCAGTCATGGCTAGGGAGGGACACTGGGCTGAAGGTGGTAAGTGTAACCACAGGGGAGTAGATAAATGTGGCTCATCCAGGAACAATGGAAAAGTAGATTTTGTCACATCTCTTGGATCCAGATTTTACCTTGGGGAGTGGGGAAGAACTATGAGGAAAGGGTAGGTGCATCTCTATGAAGAAGTTGGCAAGGGGGTTGTGGAGAAGTTGCTGCAGAGAAGCCTGACAGGACTTTTTCTGAAAGTCAGGGACCTCAGCAGTGAGTGAAGTGGAGAGACCTGGGTAGAAATCCAGGCTCAGACACTTCCTAGCTGTGTAACTCTGGGCAAGTCATTTAAACCTGTTTGCCTCAGTTTCCTCATCTGAGCAGGAGAAAGAAATGCAAACCACTCCAGTATCTTTGCCAAGAAAACTCCAAATAAGGTCACAAAGAGTCAAACATGACTGAAATGTATGAACGACAACAACTCTGAGGGTTTAGTCATCAATCAAGAGAGTAGGGCCTCAGAGCAGAACTTCCTCCAAATCATAATTTTTGGTTTGAAAGCAAGATGACAGGATGAGTTTGGAGGCAAACAACTTTGAAAGACAGAGGAACTCTGATCACCATAATAACCAACCATAATTCCAGAGGACTAATGGTGAAACATGCCACCTCCTGATCAAGAGGACTTAGTTTCCAACTCTTTGTCAAATGTCTCTATGAAACATTTCTACCTGGCTGTTCCCAAGCACCTCAAACTAAAAATGCAAAAAGTTGTCATCTTGTCTCTGATATTAAATCTTCCTCCTGACTTCCTGATTTCTAAGAATGACACTGCCATTCTGCCTTACACAAAGCTATAGAACATCTGGAATAATTTGGGTATCTCTCTTTCCCTCACCTCTCACAGACAAGTCAGAAAACCTTGCTGATGTTTCCTCTCCACTGTCTCATCTCTGCTCCAGCTTTTCCAACCATGCCATGACCACCTAATTTAAAACCCTTTAATCCTCAAATATCCTCCCCCTCACTAATATAGCAGCTTACCATACTAACTACATTACCCTAGTAATTACAATTATGTCACCTTTGCTAAGTCGCTAATTTGGTAGCCTCAGTAACCTCCTCTGTAAAATGAGAGAATTGGCCTAGATGATCTCTAAGTTGCAAATCCTGGGATTTTGTGCAGATAAGGAGACAGTTTGAGAGAATTACCCATAAAGCTCATTCAGAAGAATAAGAGATTAGAGGGAAGGGGGAAAAGATTGGCCTCAGATATTGGGGCTCAGAATGACACCAATGTGGTCACCAATTCAAGTGATTCAGACTGGATCTGGACCCCTTGGAAGGACCTCAAATGTCTTTAGCCTCCTGGTTTCTTAGACATTTCCCTGTTCTCTTGGTGAATTCAGGATCTAAAAGTGGGAAAATGCATTCTAACATTTTCTCACTTTTAGATCCTTATCTTACCAAATTCCTGACATTGTGCTTCTGAATTTTGGACATGTCTGGAGCCTCTGACCCCTCTTTACTTCTTTGACACTGTGAGCTATCTATGCTGATAATTCCTGAGTTCATCTCCATGTCTTTAAATGCCCTACTCAGCTCAGTCCTTCCTACCAGGATGAAAGTCTACAAAATGTCTCTCTGCCAAGCACCAGAGGCCAGGCATGATGGCTCAAGCTTCAGCATCGGCAGTGGCCTTCTAACTGCTATCTGTGGTTTAAAATTTTCTCTTCTCTAAAACACTCAGCTCACCCCATGACTCTCCATTGCTGTTTAGATAAAGAACAACTTCTTTAGTCTAGAAATCAAGGCCTTTTCCACCTCTACCCCCATTTCCTTTTCTAGCCTTCTTTTCCACTTTTGCCCACATGAGAACTGAGCCTAAACCAAAGTCTTAGTTCCTCCTCATCCTTGCCCTTTTCTGTGGTCATTCCCCCACAGATGTGTATTCTCTCCCTATTGTGGTGATGTACCACCATCCTCCCAGTCACCTAGGCTCACAATCTCAGTGTCGTGCTCACTCTCATCACCCATATTTAATCTGTTGCCAAAACTTGGCAATTTTGCCTTTGTAACATCTTGAATATACCACATTTTCTCCTCTGACCCTGCCATGGCTCTGATTCAGGCCCTCACTACCTTCCACCTGCACTAGTACAATAGCTTGCTGATGGGTGTACCTGCCTCTAATCTCTCCCCACTATAGTCCATCCTCCATTCATCTGTCAAAGGGATGTTCCTAAAGCATAGATCTGACCACGTCACCCACCTGCTCAATAAACTCCAGTGGCTCCCTCTCACCTCCAGAATAAAATTTAAAATTCCTGTTTGGCCTTCTAAGACCTTCTCTTATTGGACCCCCTTGCTTTTCATTCTCCTTATTCATGACTTTTCCCCTTTCCTTCATGTACTTGGTGATCCAGTGACACTGGCTTCTCTGCTATCCCTCTTGCTAGACACTCTATATCTCAGCTCTGGGCATTTCCTCTGGCTCTCCCCCATGTCTGGAATGCTCTCCCTCCTTATCCCTGACTCATGGCTTCCCTGGCTTCCTTCAAGTCCCAACTAAAATCCCATCTGCTACAGGAAGCCTTTTTCCACTCCCCCTTAATTCTAGTGCCTCCCTCTGTTGGTTATTTTCAAATTATCCTATATATAACTTGTTTGCACACAGTTGTTTTCCTGTTGACATCCCCTTGGACTTTTACCTTTCTTTGTATCCCCTGCAGTTAACACAGTGCCTGGCACATAGTAAGAGCTTAACAAAAGTTTCACTAACTTCTAGCTGGGAGGCTATTTAAATACGGTGTAGTTTGGATGATTGTCCACATGGGGGCATCACCTACTTAGTACACCCATAGCAGATAACAGGTTGTTCTTTGAGTTGTCAGCTGGGTTAAGCAGCCATCACCCTGCTAGGACTGGGAGATCCCACTGCCCTTGGATTTCCCTTACTCAGGCCCTAACAGACTGTCTCTAGAAGATCCTTTCTCTCTTTCCCAGCCCTGGAGAATGGGTGTTACACATGACATACTCTTCCCCCCAGAGGCAGTGCAGGTGACAAAGCTCAAAAGAGGGACAGATTCCTGGAGGACAGCTCTAGAGCAGGTTAGAATCCTGAAGAGACTGTCATTGCCCAGGCCAGTTGTCAGGCCAGGCTGCAGGGGCAATAATATGGATAGTACCAGAGGGACTTTTATCTGCTTCCCTACAATATTTACACTTGCTGGAAGAGGATTGTGTCCCATCCCACCCTCCCTGCTCAGGACAAAAGATCTCCTGCTCCTTCTGTGTCATTATAGAGGTCCACTGCTCCAGAACCAGGGTTCAGGGAGAGCAGCACCATTATGGAGACTGGAGATGACAATGAAAGACTAGAGGAGGTAGAGAGTGCAAAATTTCCTGATCCAGAAGAGTGGGGAATTGGGTAGCATTGGGTCTGCACCTCTGTTTTTTCATCTCATTAACAAGGGATCATGAAGATAGGAGAAAAACTATCTTGGGTCAATTCCCTTGGTCTCTCCAGCCCAGTATCTGTCTCTATCCTGCCTCCAAGGAATGGATGGGGAGGCCTTCTCCTACTCTATCATGATGTTATTCATGAAAACCAAGGGTGGTCTCAAACTCCAGCTTCTCTTAAGGACTTGAAATCATATCTGGGAAATTAATTCAAGAAAGGCTACCCCTTGCTCCCCCAATAACAGACATAATGAAACCTTTCCAGCAGCTTATCTAGACTCTGTGAAGGTGTTTAACAGGACAGAACATTTTAGAAAGTGGTGGGAGACCTTGGTATTTCTGACCATGGCACCCCCTAATCAATAAACTCCAGGGACTCCTTATCACCCCCAAGATCAAATATAAAATTCTCTGCTTGACCTTCTAGGCCTGTCACAATCTGGCCCCCTCTTACTTTTTCAGCCTTCTTATACTGTATATTCTCAGGCCCCTAGTACTCAGCTATCCAGTGACACTGGCCTCCCTGTTCTTCCTCCCATAAATGACTCCATCTCCCCACTCTGGGCAGTCTTTGGTTGTCCGCCTGTTCAGAACACTCTTCCTCCTCACCTCTGCCTCCTAATTTCCCTGGCTTACTTCAAGTATCAGCTCAAATTCCACCTTCCCCACCTTTCTTGATCCCGCTTTATGTTGGTGCCTTCTCTCTGTTGATTATGTCTCATTTATCCAGTATAAATCTTGCTTCTACAGAGTTGTTTGCATACTGCCTCCCTCATTAAGCTGATTTCCTGAGAGCAGATACTGTCTTTTGTCTTTCTATCTATCCTTAGTATTAGCACAGTGCCTGACAGATAGTAAGTTTTTGATATCATTATTTTTAAACTTACTGGAGCCCTCAGCTCATTGGGTCAGGGCCAGGGGAGGGACAGTTTAAGAAGTCCTTGAACCCTGAGAAAAAGGGAGAAAGGAAGCAAGGGTCTAAGGAGGAGTTATTTGGAAGAGGAGCCTGAAAAATTTTACCTACTGCCCATCTGTCCAAAGACTACCCAGTCCCAAGTCCTTCTCATGGTCTTGGTGTAGAGAGAAGAGTGCTCCCCATGGGCCCCACCTGGGCTCTCTGGGGAGTTGCTGCTCTGTACTTACCTGGGGTGTGTCTGCCTGCAACCATGTGGGAATTTACAACCAACAGGGTCATAGCCAGAACTTGTATACAGGCGCCTGTGGGGAGTAAGACACACACCATCCTGAAGACAAGACGAAGCTAAGGGACCCAGAGAGATATAACAGTCAGGATGACCCTTACTTCATGGGAACTACCCCTCATATATCCTAGACTAAGAATTTACAGACTCTTTGGTCTGCACCACTGTGGGGCAACCTCAGAGATGAGAGAACCAATTAGCATTAGGAATGAACTGCATCATTGGTTCCCAGGCAGAGGTTCTTTCTGCAGGGTTTGTTCTAATACTTAAATGTTTTTCTGGTGAAAAAAAAAAGGTCACCAAAGTCATAGAATTTCAGGGAATAAAGGGGCCCCAAGGGTCACATCTTGCCTATACTATTTCATTAGCCTCCTGGTCACTTTCCCTGCTCCCAACCTAGTTCCTCTCACTTCCCACAGCTTCCAAAGGGATATTCCTAAAGCACAGGGCTGATTGTGTTGAGGTCCTACTGAACACCCCCTAAAGACTCCATCATGGCTCTGGAGCGGGCCTGCACAACAGGCTTAGGGGCTGCTTGTAGCTCCCCAAAGGATTTTGGGCAGCCAGCGAAAAAGGTAGGGTTGCCACTGTACACTCTCCCCTGTTTGTCATGTGACCCATGGCAACAAACCATTGTCACTCTGACTCTAGTCTAACCTATCTGTGGCCTGAAGAAGTTTACAAGTTGTACAGGCCTGGTCTAGGGAGGCAAAACCAAGATGGTGGAGTAAAGGCAGGGACTGGTATGAGCTCTCCCCGACTCAATACCTTTAAAAAAGGACTTTAAACAAATCTACAGCAGCAGAACCCACAAAAAGATAGAATGAAACAAATTTCTAGCCCAAAACAACTTGGAAGGTTGGCAGAAAATTCTGTTGTACCAGGATGAGAAAGGAGCACAGTCAAGGGCAGGCTACATCAGTGTCAGTGTAGACTGTGCTCCAGTGAACCTGGAGCAGGCCTCACAGTGACTGAATCACTGGCAGGAGTGGTGATTTCGAGACTTCTCAGCCCACAGATGTCAAAGACAACTTAGAAGGTCAGCAGGAAAGGTCTGCTGGACCTGAGTGAGAGGTCATAGACTAGCTCAGGCCTCACTAGCAGAGCCCTGGCCCCAACCCCAACAAACCAGCAAATGGGAGTGACTTAATCAGTAGTAGTGGCAGTAGCAGTAGCAATAGCAGCAGCAGCAGCAGCAGCTACTTTGGGAGCTTTCAGAATACAGATGGTAAATGGGTCAAAAAACTGGTCATAAGGAGATTACAGGGGTCTTTTTGCTAGAAGAGAGGCAGGATTCTGTTGCTTTACCCATACTGGGATCTGAGTCACAGTCCTGGGTGGCAGTCCCAGGGGGAGGAGGAGCACTAACATAGCAGAGCTTGTGGACACAGGGGAGAGGTGAACCTTCCTCACAGTTCCAGAGCAGAAAAGAGTATTTGTGGTTGCTCACAGACCAGAGCACAGGCCAGGAGAAGAGTAAACACCTCTCCTTAGTTCCTCCCACCTTAGAAGAACTGAAAACTTAAAGGTCCCTAGAAGTATCTCTGAAAACAGTGGCACAAAACCACTGAAGCTTGGGACAGTGCACCCTCTACCCTGGAAGCAGAGCCCTACTTTAATAATCAGTTAAAAAGTCAAGTAGTAGACTGGAAAAATGAGCAAACAGCAGGAAAAAAAACCCTCTGACTATAGAAAGTTACTATGGTGACAAGGAAGATCAAAACACACACTCAGAAGACAACAAAGTCAAAGATCCTACATCCAAAGCCACCAAGAAAAATATGAATTGGTCTCAGGCCATGGAATAGCTCAATAAGGATTATGAAAATCAAGTAAGAGAGGTATAGGAAAAACTGGGAAGAGAAATAAGAGTGATGCAGGAAAATTATGAAAAATGGGTCAACAGCTTGGTAAAGGAGACACACAGAAAAAATACTGAAGAAAATCACACCTTAAAAAAACACACTAGACCAAATGGTAAAAGAGATCCAAAAAGCCAATGAGAGGAATGTCTTAAAAAGCAGAATTGGACAAATGGAAAAGAAGTTCCAAAGGCTCACTGAAGAAAATAATGCCTTAAGTTTACAATATGTTAAAAAGAAATTTTTTTTTTAAAAAAGCAAAATATGGGGAAAAAAACTAATGAAAAAAATTAAAAGTCCTATGTTCTTTGTATTTCTCTATTGTGAAGAAATAAAACTGTGCTACAATTGGGAAAAAAAAAGAAAATAATTCCTTAAAAATTAGAATGGAGCAAGTGGAAGCTAGTGACTTTATGAGAGATCAAGAAATAATAAAACAAAAGAAAAGAATGGAAAAATGGAAAATAATGTGAAATATCTCATTGGAAAAACAACTGACCTGGAAAATAGATCCAGGAGAGATAATTTAAAAATTATTGGACTACCTGAAAGCCATGATCAAAAAAAGAGTCTAGACATCATCTTTCAAAAAATTATCAAGGAAAACTGCCCTGATATTCTAGAACTAGAGGGTAAAATAGAAATTGAAAGAATCCAGTGATCACCTCCAGAGATCACAAAAGTAAAACTGGCAGGAATATTATAGCCAAATTCCAGAGTTCCCATGTCAAGGTGAAAATATTGCAAGCATCCAGAAAGAAACAATTCAAATACAGTGGAGCCACAGTAATGATAATACAAGATTCAGCTGCTTTTACATTAAAGGATTGGAGGGCTTAGAATATGACATTCTGGATAGCAAAGGAGCTAAGATTACAACCAAGAATCACCTACCCAGAAAAACTGAGTATAATCCCTCACGGGAGAAAATGGATATTCAATAAGATAGAGGATTTTCAAGCATTCTTGATGAAAAGACCAAAGCTGAATAGAAAATTTGACTTTCAGTTGCAAGACTCAAGAGAAGCATAAGAAGATAAGCAAGAAAGGGAAATCATAAAGGATTTAGTGAAGTTAAATGATTTGCATCCCTACATGGTAAGATGATATTTGTAACTCACAAGGCCTTTCTCATAATTAGGGTAGTTAGAAGGAGTATATATAGACAGAGGGCACAGGTGTGAGTTGAATATAAAGGGATCATATTTAAAAATAAAATTAAAGGGTGATAGAGGAATATACTGGGAGAAAGAGAAAGAGAGAGGTAGAATGGGGTAAATTATCTCACATAAAAGAGGCAAGAAAAAACTTTTATAGTGGAGGGGAAGAGAGAGGAGATGATAAGGAGTGAATAAACCTTACTCTCATCAAAATTGGCTCAAAGAGGGAAATAATGTATATACTCAATTAGGTATAGAAATACAATAGGAAAGTAGGAAGGGAAGGGAATAAGAGAAGAAGGGGGTGATAGGAAGGGCAAATTGAGGAATGGGGTAGTCAGAAGCAAAGCACTTTTGAGGAGGGACAGGGTGAAAGAATAGAATAAATAAGGGGGGGATAGGATGGAGGAAAATATAGTTGGCAACAGTAACTGTGAAAAAAATTTTGAAGCAAGTTTCTTTGATAAAGTCCTCATTTCTCAAACATATAGAGAATTGAGTCAAATTTACAAAAATAAGAACCATCCCTCAATTGATAAATGATCAAAAGATATGATCAGTTTTCTGGTGATATATCTATAGTCATATGATAAAATACTTTCACTTTTGATTGGAGAAATGCAAATTAAACCAATTATGAAGTGTGTGTTACCTCATACCTCATACCTATTTGTTTGGCTAACAGGACAGAAAAGAAAAATGACAAATGTTGTAGGGAATGTGGGAAAAATGAGATGTTAATGCACTATTGGGGGAGTTGTGAATTGAATCAACCATTCTGTAGAGCAATTTGGAGCTACTACCAAAAGGTTATAAAACTATGCCTACCCTTTGACTTAGCAATATCACTATTAGTTCTGTATCTCAAAAGAAATGTAAAAAAAGGAAAAAGACCTATATGTACAAAAATATTTATAGCAGCTTATTTTGGAGGGCAACTAATTAAAATTGAGGGGATGCCCATCAATTGGGGAATGACTGAACAAGTTGTGTTTTGTGATTACGATAGAATACTATTACACTATAACAAATTATGAGCAAGATACTCTTAAAAAACTGGAAAGACTTTTGCATGGGGTCATGCAAAGTGAAATGTACTGTGTAAAAGTCACAGCAATATTGCAAGATGATCAGTTGTGAATGATTTAGCAATTCTCAGCAATACAATGATCCAAGACAACTCTGAAGGACTTATGATGAAAAATGCTATCCATACCCAGAGAAAGAACTGATGGTTGTTTGAATAAAGATTGAAACATACTATTTTAAACTTTTTTTCTTGAGTTATTTTCTGTTTTCTTTCACAACATAACTATCATGGATATTTATTGCATGACTACACATGTAACCTATATTGAACTGCTTGCCTTCTCAATGAGGTGTGAGGTGGAGAGGGAGCCATGGAGAGAATTTGGAACTCAAAGTTTTATAGACAAATGTTAAAGGTTGTTTTTACATGTAATTGTGGGATAATAAATAAATAATTTTAAAAAAATAAAAAAAGAAAGGTTTGTTTAAGTTATCTCTTGAGAGGGTGGAAACAGGCGTTCTATAGGAAACTTGAGAAGAGAAGAAACAATTTAGAAAAAGTGTTTTGGTGAGTATGATAAAGAATCAGTTAAGGAGGAATGAAAGGCTTACTTTGCTCCAGTAAGGGCTCACATGAAGTTAGATAACATAAATGTGTAGTGGACTCTGGTACCCAGATTGTGTGACTTCCTTGAGCACCATGACATAGTACATAAGTAAAAGAGGAAGATTCAGGGGTGATCACCTGGGAGAATACTGAGGGATGGAGGGACTGAAGAAAATTGTGCAGACAGAGTAAATTTCAAGGAAATGGGGGAATGATCAGAGCTTATTTTCAGATATAGGAGTTAGAAAATGTGTGATCATGGAAGTGGAAGAAATGGGGGTAATTGTGAGATCAAAAGTATGACCTTTCTTATAGGTGGGGTTGTAGTAGAATGAAGGAATAGGGAGTTGAGGAGATTGAAAAACTGGGAGGCTAGGGTTACT